AGACTCCAACTAAAAAAAAAAAAAAAGATATACACTGGGATTATAATACAATTTGTGTTGTCATGTGATTCTCAGCATTAGTTCTAGTGGCTGAAAGTTTAAAAGTGATCATGAAAAATGTGCCACCTAATGTGATAGGATTTTCCTTTCAATCTAATGAGATAGGAAAAAGGTCAAGTTAAATCAAGGGACCTGCATGAGCTGGAGTGACCCTTCTTTAACATGACTCCTGCATGTTGACAGCACGTGCTAAAGCTAGCAAACTGCTTGGTGCTCATGCGAAGTTACTGGAGAAAAAAGGCTGGTATAAAATATCTGCTCGTATAAGATTATGCAGTTAACCAATCAAAGGAAACAACTAGTTAGAGAGAAAGAATTTTAATCATTGGGTTAAAAATACACATAACTTTGTTGAATATAATATATGCAACATTAAATTCTGGGTAATGCATGGAGTCTTATGTTTATATAGGACGAATCATTCATCTTCTAAAGAGAACAAATATGACTCCTTACAGGACTGACTTTATGAGAGCTGGGCAGGGCTTGACATTTCATTATCATGGCCGTTTAGCGATTACCGGAACTGGAGGCTATGCCTGAATTTTGTAGGATTCTCTTCTTTTTGATGTTCAACACATGTCCAAACCACATCTCTCTAGAAAGCTCTGATACAAGACTTTTCTTTTTATATATGTAGCACACTCCTAAAATATGCTTAAAATAGTTTGATCTTTTCAAATTGATTTGCACATAATTTTAGAGAGACTATTGATTAAAATGAGGTACATCTGTACCATAGTTCCACAAGTACACACTCCAGTTTCTGATAAAGAAAGCTTGTCTACACATAAAAATAAAATTTTGTTTTATGAAAGAAAGTTGAATTCATGAGGTATGCATCCTGATCACATGCACACAGTATAAGTACAAAGTGTAATGTCAGTATGTGATGATGCATAACACAGTATACCATGGATGAACACAGTTCCCAATCATACATTTTCCCCCATTACAAAATGTGTTTAACCTCAGACACCCCAAGGAAGTGCCTGTGTGGCATAGCCTGGACACGTCTATGGGTATGTGTAAATGTGCAAGGATGGGTATGCTATCATGGCAGCACGGCTTCTCTTTGTGGCAGGATATCTGTTCCCAGTCCAGTTTGGCTTCATACCTGGAACTGCCTCTTGTCTGGAGTTTGTGCTTTTCTTTGGAGAGCATGGTAGTATAAAGCCTGGCTTCTTATTCTGTTTAAACAAGATTTTTAAAAAGGTGAATTCACTTTATGTAGCCATTTCTTTTTCTTTTGTTTAGAAAGCAGGATTTATTGAGAGGTCAGAAAAGCTCCCACGGTGGGAGGAGACCCAAAGGGGTTGCCCCTATGTAGCCATTTCTTTTTTATTTTTTTTGAGTTGGAGTCTCACTCTGTCGCCCAGACTGGAGTGCAGTGGCCGCTCCTGGCCACCGCAGCCTCGACCTGCTGGGTTCCGGCAATCCTTCCACCTCAACCTTCCGAGTAGCCGGAATTACAGGCGTGCGCTTACCGTGCCCGGCTAATTTTTTAGTTTTATTGTAGAGATGAGGTCTCACCTGTCCAGGTGGGTCTCGAACCCGCGGGCTCAGGCAATCCACTCACCTCAGCCTCTCAAAGGCGCGGAACTACAGGCTCAGCCACTGAGCCCGGCTAGCCATTTCTAAAGTTATAGTTAGGGTTGAGATTGGCTTTACAAGGGCATGGTGAGAAGTACTTGCATTTCTTCCTAAATAGCAAAGTTGTTGACATTGTTACAGGGCAGAGGTGAATCCAGCATTTGTCCTGGCCCCCCAGTCAAATCAAGGTCAACATGGGCAACATTTTAATTGCTCCAAGAAGCAGAGGGACTAAATTTTATAATCTGTCTAGAAACATTACATAAAGAAAGAGGGAAAACTCAATCTATCAAGATGGGAGACTGCCCTGTTTTTTCAACTCTGTAATCTGACATGCTATAGAAGTTAAATGCTCACATCTTTTTAGAGAAATAGCACACTAGAAATTAAGAAAATGAAGCAAAGCATGGTGGCTCAGCCTGTCATCCCAGCACTTTGGGAGGCCGAGGTGAGTGGATTGCCCGAGCCCGGGGGTTTAGACCAGCCCGGGCAACCTGGCGAGACCTTTTCTCTACAATAAATTAATAAATAAGCCGGGCTCAGTGGCTCAGCCTATAATCCCGCACCTTTGGGAGGCTGAGGTGAGTGGACTGCCTGAACCCATGGGTTCGAGACTCGCCTGGGCAACTTGGCGAGACCTCATCTCTACAATAAATAAAAAAAATTAGCCAGACGTGGTAGCGTGCGCCTGTAGTTCCAGCTACTTGGAAGGCTGAGGCAGAAGGATCACCGGAGCCCAGCGGGTCAAGGCTGCGATGGCCGGTAGCGGCCACTGCACTCCAGTCTGGGCGATAGAGTGAGACTCCAACTAAAAAAAATAATAATAAAAATAACAAAAAATAAAAAAATTAAATTAAGTAAAAAAATAATAAAAATAATAAAAAAGTAAATCATTCACAAACCTCAGTATTAAATGACTCGTGGTAACACTGGTGTGAAGCACACCTCCCAACTGACGGCAACACCCTAAGTGTCCTTAACTTCTTAGGGTTGAGAACCGCTGCATTATTCACTGTCACCTCTTCTGAGATCAGATGAGATCAGGTATGTTCAGGGTGATATGGCCACCCTGTCACCATCTTACCTGAAATATTGCCATAGAGTTCTAAAATAATGTTTTGAAACTGCCTAACAAATGTTTGTTGAAATAAAAATAATGGGAAAACACCTCTTATCAATAAGGGTGCCTGAATGAAGCATATTTGTATACCTAACCCTTAACTGTACCCCACACTATCATAATAAAAAATATTGATTAAAAAAAAAGAAATACAAATTAAATTCTCAATGGCAAGTTTTTAGTTCTGAGTGGGCTTCCTCTGATCCTGCAGTAGTACCTTGTGGGCTGTACCCCAGGGGTCAGGTGGTTTGTAGCCTGAGGGTACAAACGGTTTTAGATGTTCACCAGAGCAGAACAAATTTCAGAAGGCAAAACTGTGTGGACTGTGGGTCACCATCCCTCTAAATCATATAATACATCTGAGAACTAACTAAAATTAATTGCTAGGATATACATTTACACAGTACATTAGAATGAAATACCTGTATTCTCTCTTTATTCTTGGTCATAATCAGGGTGGTCATTGATGGGTCTAAGAGGGTGCCTTTGTCTCTTCCATTTAGCCGTGTCTAAAATAAATGAACACATTCTCACTAAATTCCCCACTTGAACAAGTGTGATTATGTTGAATGAATATACATTATTTGTTTGCTTTTTACTTACGCATGATGATTCATTATGACACTCTGACATGAAAAGACAGGAAAGACACAACTGAGAAACAATTCAAAGGAAAGAAGGAAAGGTGACTAATATTTACTGAGTACACACCATATGCCAAGTACTTTACACAGTTTCACATCTAACTCTCATAACAAGCTTAGGATGTAGTTTTTTTTTGTTTTTGAGTCGGAGTCTCACTCATTTACCTAGACTGACGTGCAGAGGCACATTCATGGCTGCTGTAGCCTCGACTTGCTGGGCTTAGGTGGTCCTTCCACTTCAGTCTTCCAAATAGCTGGAACTACAGGCTATGTTATGTTCTGGTTAATTTTTTAATTTATTGTAGAGACGCGGTCTTGCCATGTTGCCCAGGCTGGTCTTGAAACCCTGGACTCAGGCAATGCTCTTGTCTCTGTCTCCCAAAGTGCTGAGATTATAGGCAAAGGATGTCTATATTATCATCCAATATTTCAGATGCAAAACTGAGTCCCAGGATGGTCAAATAACTCACAGAATATTAAATAGCAGGGTCGGAATTCAAACTCAAGACAGAATTCAAAGCTTGTACTCTTTTTTTTTTTGAGTTGGAGTTTCACTCCATCGCCCAGACTGGAGTGCAGTGGCCGCTCCCAGCCACTGCAGCCTCGACCCACTGGGCTCCGGCGATCCTTCCTCCGCCTCAGCCTTCCAAGTAGCTGGAACTACAGGCGGGAGCTACCACGCCCGGCTGACAAAACTTGTACTCTTACCATTGTTATGCTAGATACCAAATAGCCCTTAGTATTGAACAGAAGTGTGTTTGGTGGGAATTCCCCAGTGCAGTACGCTGGGACCTCGTTGTATCATTGTTAACTACAGAGTAGCATTTCACATGAAGGGGGCCCATTTTATACACTACCCCCTAAGAATTAGCTACTACTATACCAAGTAGTATAGTAGTATTTTTTTTTTTTTGAGTTGGAGTCTCACTCTGTCGCCCAGACTGGAGTGCAGTGGCTGCTCCCGGCCACCACAGCCTCGACCTGCTGTGCTCCGGCGATCCTTCCGCCTCAGCCTTCCAAGTAGCTGGAACTACAGGCGCGCGCTACCACACCTGGCTAGTTTTTTGATTTATTGTAGAGATGAGGTCTCGCCAAGTTGCCCAAGCGGGTCTCGAACCTGCGGGCTCAGGCAATTGACTCATCTCAGCCTCCCAAGGGGTGGGATTACAGGCTGAGCCACCGAGCCTCACTTTTTTGAAATTTCTTTTGTGTTGGAGTCTCACTCTGTTGCCCAGGCTGGAGTGCAGTGGCAAGCTCACAGCTACTGCAACCTTGATCTCCTGGGCTCAGGCAATACTTCCGCCTCAGCCTCCTGAGTAGCTGGGACTACAGGCGTGTACCACCAGGTCCAGCTATGTTTTTTATTTTTTGTACAGATGAGGTCTCATTATGTAGTCTAGGCTGGTCTCAAATTCCTAGACTCAAGCAATCCTCTCATTTCAGCCTCGCAAAGTACTTAGATTACATGTGTGAGTCACTGCATCTGGCAAAAACCTATTTTTATACACACAAAAATCAAAGATTTTAGCTGGGCTCGGTGGCTCAGCTTGTAATCCTGCGCCTTTGGGAGGCTGAGGCGAGTGGATTGCCTGAGCCTGCAGGTTTGAGACCCGCCTGGGCA